GCAGCAGCTGCTGCTGTTGCTGCTGCTCCTGTTGCTGCTGCTGCATTTAGCCGACCTGCATGTCTGTGGATGCGTCAGCACTGACTGTTTCAGCAGCCGCAGGAGCAGCAACAGCAGCTGCTGCAGCAGCAGCAGCAGTTGCTGCTGCTGCTGCAGGTGTGGTATTGGGTTCGATGTCTCTTAGCAGCTGCAGCGCGAGTTTATAATTTGTGAAGTCTAAACCATCAACACAGCGGCAAATATGAGGCCGCAGCAACGGGACATATACTGCTGCTGCTGCTGCTGCTGTTGCTGTTGCTGCTGGTGCTGTTGCTGCTGAAGTTGTTGCTGCTGACAATTGTGTTGCTGCTGCTGCTGCTGTTTGTGTTGCTGGTGGTGTTGTTTCAGCTGCTGCGGCAGATTCTGTTGCTGATGCTGCTTTTGCTGCTGCTGCTGTTGTTGCTGCTGCTGCTGCTTCAATGATCTCCATCTGCTGCGACGGGGCTGCAGTGAGCGCTGCAGCTATCTGCTGCAGCTGCTGCTGCTGCAGCAGCAGCAAATGCAGCAAACCAACAAACTGATACACCCCACACGGCTCTAGAGAAGGACGCTTGTGCAAGCCTCTGCAGCAGCAGCAGCAGCAGCAGCAGCAAAAGAAAAAGCAGACGCAGCAAATAGAATAACGCACGCAGCCACAGCAGAATCCGAACAGCAGAAAACAGCAACAAATGCAGCAGCAGCAGCACCACCACCAGCAGCAAATGCAGCAGCAGCAGCATGAAGCGGAAGGCGCAGCAACAGCAGTAGCACCAGCAGCAGCAGCGAACAAGGGATGCAACACCGACAAAACAACTAAATAAAATAAACAAAATAAATAAAATAAAATAAATAAATAAATAAATAAATAAAGGCTTACCCTAAGTCTACCAATATAAACATATTTGTTTTTGCTTCTGCTGCTGCTTTAAACAGCAGCAAGTCAAACACAACACCAACAAAGACTCCAGCAACACGAACCGTCAGCAAAGGCTGCTGCTGCAGCAGCAGCAACTGCTGCTGCTGC